GGTGGCAGCGGAGCAAAGTGAATAATCAGTACCTGCAAATCGATTCAATGCACTACAGGGTGGTGCTTGCTGTCGAAGTTATCCGAGCACCGTCCTGAAAGCAGGTAGGAGAATGCCGCTACTGTGTTTGGAGACAAAGCAGAGGCTCAAGTTTCGGTCAGCCTGTCGTCTTGCTGATACGAACTCTGCTGTTTGGCATCGTGGCACAAATATACACCAGTTGCTGATGTCCAGTCGATGTGTTGGTCACGGCGTACCCCATGCAATACGATGGCTGCCAAAGTCGCTCGCATTAACACTGGGGTGAGACGGCGTTAATAACGGCGGTGATGACCATTTCTGGGTCGCTTGTACATGTTCGTTATAGCGATTTCACCGACGGTCACTGCTGAATTCATTAACATTTCATTCAGTTGTGTGTTTGCCGATCAGATTCTAACTCTCGTTAATCACTGCGACAACCGTGGGGTTTGCTATGGCATAATCGTGTTTAAAGTCATTAATGTTGCGGACCATGCTGAATCCGGCAGTTCTGTATCCGGCTGCTTGTAATCGACGCGTTCCACATGCATCGCTTGCAGGATGGCGCTGTCCATCCCATTTTCTTTTAATGTCCTCGACAGATGTTTACATTTTGAGTGGGAAATGACGTCCACTTAAACTGGAGAATGCTGAGCGTTTGGCCAACGTTGGGTTGATCCTTCTTTGGCCCTTATAAGGACCGATGGGTTTATTTGCTCTTCTTCCATGACCCGCATAGGCACCGTTAGGTTTCTTTGTTGTTCTTCCATGGCTCTCAATAAGACCGCTGGGACCATTTGTTCTTCTTCCTTTGTGGCCCTCGTAAGGGTCGTTGAGTATATTTTGTACTGATTTATATGTCACATATGAGAACTACAGTTGGGTTTGTTTGCTAATCAAGTCGAGAGATTGCTTACACAAAGTTCGGCTGCCACGTAACGCCACTCGTTGTATTGTTAAGTCTTGGCGCCCTTTCACAATGCGTAAGGAATATTATATGAAGATTGTGGTCTTTCGCACGCATCGAACTCATTATATGCCTATTCTCCATTGAAATTCTTACATGCAAGAATCCACTTCCATTTGCACGACACAGCGACGAAGATAAAAATTTGCTGGTTGCTAACAACGCGCAGCACACACGTGCAGTGGTTGAAATGTGTGGCAAATTAAAAATTTAACGAAAGTAGAAATGCAATTCGCACTACAGCAATTGAGAGCTGTATCTGAATTTTAATAAACACAAAAAAGAAAACGCATAAAATATTCTTTAGTTAGGGACATCTGACGTTTCGGTCCAAGGTCGGTCCGTCTTCAGACTACAGTGACAAAAGGCACATAGTGTTTACATTCAGGTCTGGTTGACCCGCATGATTAATCGTACCGTGTTGTTTTCTAGTCTTACTCGGCCGCCTCATGCTTGCGGTCCATGTGTCGCTGATTGATGTACTTGGTTACTCGGATGAATAGCACTTCCTTGATTGCGGAAAATATACTGTTGTTTTCGTGCGACACCTTTCATTCTGCCCCACAATATGCTATATTGGTGGGAAACAGCATGTTCCACATTGGCAGAATTTTTTTCGTTTGGTTTATACCAGAAGTCGTTATTCATTCTAAGCATCATATACATTTCTCGAATGCACTCAGGTAGTTCAAGTGATCAAGAAACGGAACAAGACCAGTACAGAAACTGGGTTTTTAGTTTTAGATATGTAAAAGAGTTTGTTTTACATTTTGGTATAGCCACTGCTTCTTTAGCCGTGTATAAATCGCACCTGCCCTCCTCCCGTTTTGTCACTGTGACTCAGTAAGCGTTAAGCGAAGATTTTTTTCAGAAACCAGCCCTAATTTACGACAGACTCTTTCCATTGATTACCTCTTCTGATTTACGGTTATTACTCTTATCATTACCCATAAACGTTATTCTAGTATTGCTCAATGACATCAGCTGTACGATTGTGATGCTTTTAATCATTGCCATCCTTGATTACTTCACGATCATTATCATCAGCGTGTCATCTTCTCATCATGATTGTCACTTTCAGAATTGTCATTAAAACGTAGTCATCATTACCATTATATTCAACAGTACTATCATCATTTTCTTCGTTGTCGTAATTGTAGCTCTGGTAATGAATAATATCATCGTCATAACCGTTAGTATGATCCTCGCTATCAACGTACTGGATTATGTTATCGTGTTCATCACTACTATTGCCATATTCACATCTTTATTGCCATCACTCTTAGCATAGTACCTACGCCTATCATAATTTCTTTATCACCGTTTATTCACATAGCCGTCTGGCCATAGGAATATAAACGCGTTAATTTCCAAGAATGTTTTTCTTGCTGAAAAACTGTCTTACCCCATTCATGCATTGTCTCTCCGTTTCGAAGTTCCGAGTACTAAGCATTGACACGTCCCTCGTGACGCAAGTCTCAATACTATGCATTTTCTATCGTCATTGTTCTGATTTGAGTTCCACTAGGGGTTATCTCTAGGGACCCAGCTGATGTTACTTCACAGCAGCAAGAACTTTATCACTAATAATCCATATTACTTGGGACATCGGTTCTCTCTTCATTCATCTTCATCTTCCATCGCCGCTTCTCCTTTCGGGTCCCGGAGGCAGACACGTCAGACAGAGCTTCCAACGTTCCCGATCCTGTGCCAGAGTCTGAAATTCGGCAAAAGACAGATAGAGTCTGGAACAGATTCCTTCCCTATGTTTGCATCAGGTTAATCTTGGCCGTCCCCTGGGCCTTCTGCCAGTCGGATTTGCAAGGAAGAGCTGCTTAGCCTTCCTTTTTGGAGGCATTCGCAACACATGTCCAAGCCATCGCAGTTCTGACTTCTCAATCTGGAGAAGCAAAGGCTGTATACCAAGGCTCTTCCAGATATCAGTATTCCGGACCTTATCGAGACGCGTATGGCCAGCGACTCGTCTAAGAAAGCACATTTCAGCAGCTTGTATCCGGGTTCGAAGTTTTTCAGTCATGGTCCACGATTCATGACCGTAGGTAAGTATGGGGATAAAGATCGACTTGAATACTGAGAGCTTTGTTTTCAGACTGAGCTCTGCTTTAGTCACAATGGGTCGGGACAGTTGACGCAGAACGCCGCTGACTACTCCAATCCGCTGGTCGATCTCTTCCTCAAATTTTCCGTCACTAAGGCACCTGAACTTCTCCACCTGTTCCACTGCCTCTCCGTTAATTTGAAGAGAGCAACGGGCAGGAGAACGAGAAAGCACAAAGCTTCTCGTTTTAGATGCGTTCACACGCATGCCGGTCACGTCGCACTCGGCTGCGAACCTATCTGAGGAGCATTCGAGATCAGTTTCAGAAGATGCTAATAAAACAAGGTCGTCTGCAAACAGCAACGTTCTCGCCTTAACAACCCCTATACCGATACCTTCTTCGCCATGGCAGCGCCTGACTATTCTATCCATGTACAACACAAACACGATAGGGGGCAGGACGCAGCCTTGGCGGAAACCAGTGCGAACGTTGAATGGTTTCGACTTAATTCCATTAACTTTGACACAGCACCTGCTATCAGAATACAGTGATTGGATGGCCCTTAGCAGCTGGCCACTAATCCCGTATTCACAAAGGCATGTCCACAGACTTGCGTGGGATCCGGTCATACGCTTTCTCTAGGTTCACAAAACACATGTACATCGGCTGGGCGTACTCCCATGATTTCTCAGCAATCTGGCGCAGGGCATATATGTGGCCAGAGGTGCTTCGACCGGGCCGGAAAACACTGCTCTTCTTGGATCATGAGGTCAATTATTTCACGGCACCTCCTTTCTAACACCTTTGCGTAGACTTTACCTGGGAGGCTCAGTAACGTTATG